AGGCGAGACAGATGTGAGTGACCTTAAGCGAATCACTCCACCTCCCCCATTTCCTGGTGAAGGTCACAAGGCTGCATTTATAGTTTAGGCTCATTCCATTCATTCACTCTCATTATGCATCTGTTGGGTACCTACAGCGATCATTGTTGAGTCTCCTCTGCCTAAGCAATTCTTCAGTAAGCAGTAACTGCTGTTTATTAAGTAGTACAAACACTGATTTACAGCATGAGATGCGGAGTCCATCTATTTAGGGATATTTGGAAGAAAATGCTTTTTGAATGAGAATCACCATTTCCAAAGTAGGTACAGAGATTTGCTCAGGTTGCTGTAACAAATGCCACAGAAAATGTATTTTCTCATTATTCTGGAGACCAAACGTCTGCAGGTTGAACATATCTCTGCTCCGGAAACCTTGCTCCTTGACTTGCAGATGGCAATCCTTTTCCTGTGTCTTCACACGTCATCTATGTCCTAAACTCTTCTTAAAAGGACACAGACCATACTGGTTTAAGCCCCAAGCATATGACTTAATTTTACTAAGTCCTCTTATTATATCTTTAGCCGGGAGCGGTGCTGTAATCCCAGCACTCGGGAGGCTGAAGCAGGAGGATTGCTGTGAGCTCGAGACCAGCCCAGGCTACATAGTGAGTTCCAGGTCAGTCTCAAATACATAATGAGACCCTGTCTGAAGGGGGGGAAAAAAAGAAAGAAAAAGATCCCAACTTCAGATAAAGTCATATTCTGTGGTGTGAACATATGATTTTTTGTTTGTTTTTTGAGACAGAGTCTTGTTGTGTAGTTCAGAATGGCTTTGAATTACGTAGCCTAGGCTGGCCTTGAACTCACAGCGATCCTCCTGTGAATGCTGGGATTACAGGTGTGCATCACCCTACCTGACTCAAACATACGAATTTTGGAGGTAACATAATTCAAACCATAACAGTGAGATAATACTAAGAGCATGTTAGAACTTCTCATTTATTTTGCAAAAGCTAAAACTTTACTAATTTTAAATAAATGGATTTATAGATGACTGTATCAAACATACCTTTAGGATACATATTCAAAAGTTATTCCTGCTACAGGGGCATAGGTAAAGAATTTTGGAGAACAACAATCTAAGGCTTTGGGCTACAAAAGACAAGTCAAGGAACTGACAAGGAGAGAAGTAACTGGGTGTTGAAACTGAACACCTAAGATTAAATCTGGAAGTAAATTAAGGAGACCCTGGGTTGGCCCACTGAAAAGGCAGGACAGCTGGGCTGGTGACCGGATGGGACCCAACAAGATGAAAGCATGATGAAATCACAGGGAAAGCTTCAGCCCACAGGGTGTGGCAGGAGGCATTACCCCTTCCCTTCAGTGTCCCAGTTCTATTAACTCAGGTGTGGCCAAAGCCTGGCTCTGGTTGATGTAGTGGGTACAGAAGTGGCACCTGCCACTCCACAGCACCGCTTAGCCAGTACTCAGGTCACAAACCCTCCCCCTTGATAACCCCAGAGGGCAGCCAAAACAACAGTTGGTACAGAAGTATTTCAGCACAGCTGTACCAGTGCCCCCACTTGTATTCTAGACCCAAAAAGAGGCAGTTCTTAGCCTGCAATTTCATAGCACAGGATTCTCGCTTTAGATGGATCAGTCTGGAGTTTATTTTCTTTCCCATTCTATTAAATTTCTCAGGCTTGAATATTTTGACACTGCTCTTCCCCCTCCTTTTCCTCTTCCTCGGCTTAGCACAATTCCACAGAATATCTCAGGAACACACTCCTAGCCACAGGAAAAGGAAAAAACCCACAGAACAACCATAGGATTTGGGGTGTGTGGGGCTGCAGATCATCATCAGCACAATAGTAATCAAGTATTATGAATATTACTTGTCGACAATTTGTTGATCACTATGACAATATTCAGATACAATTACTAAGCAAATCTATCAGCAATTACAGTTCCTATTTCAACAGAGGTGCTTTGTTGTCTTTTGGTGCTAAGGCTCAAAGCCCAGGCCTTGCACATGCTCGGCAAGTGCTCTACCATGGAACTACTCTCCCAGGCCCAGAGTCAGTATTTAAGAGTCTTAAGGAAGAAGGGTGACTGCATACAACACTTGCCAATCTGTGTCTAACTTCTAAATTGAAAAACAAATCTACCTCACTCCACTGACCCGCTACCTATAAACTAAGCATTATTCTAAAATGTAATGGAATACCAGAGATTTCTAGCAGAGCGAGTTGATGTGTTTACGCTGCAGTGCTCCTGAGGGACAGACACTCTTAGAAGATGGAGGTGCTGGAAGCAGCAGCTGTGCATTGTCAAATGCCACATAGATTTAAATTCCTCAGTCCTACATCAATTCCTGTGCTCTACATCAATTGAACAGAATATGATATCACATCTCTGTATTTTCACATTATGTGATGTGTGTATGTGACAACATTCCAAAAGCCTAGGGAGCTCAAACCCTCCCATGAACAGAAATCAGTTTTAAAATATTCCATAAAGACCATGTCTTAGTAAACTGTGCAGTGCCAACCCCAGCTCGGAGCCTGACACAAAGGGAATATTTTGGTGCATATGCCTTGAGTAAGAGAGCAAATAGTGCCAGGCGTGGTGGTGCACGCCTATAATCCCAGCACTCTGGAGGCTGAGGCAGGAGGATCACTGAGTTCAAAACCAGCCTGGGCTGCATAGTGAGTTCCAGGTCATTCTCAACTACATAGTGAGACCCTGTCTCAAACCACACCCCCCAAAAAAGAGAGAACAAATAGTTCAGAAGATAAACACACCAACTCATCCATTTATGGGGAGAATTTTAAAAGGCCAATACCATGATCATTGAACCAGCTTACCCCAAGTGTCCCTTAGGTAGTGCATTTGTTCACATACTCACTATCCCAGGCATCACTTGGGAGATGTCATTTCAACCAGTCCATTCTTGTATTGAATAAATTTTTTTTGTACCAGGGATTGAACTTGGGTCCTTGCGCTTGCAAGGCAGGCCACCGAACCGCTGAGCTAAATCCCCGGCCCTGTATTGAATAAATTTGATAAAATTGTTGTTTTTATATTTCCTGTTAGATTATCTTATACAAATTAATGGAAAACTTAAATGCGAAGGGGAACAAGGGAGGAGGGAGGGAGAAAGGAAGAAAGGGACAAGCAAAAAAGTAAAAATAGGAGGAAAAAATGGAAGCAAAGCTTTTGTACATAGGGAACAGACGGGGCTTGAGGGGTGAATGAGATAAAATAAAATAAAATCTAATAAAATAAAATGAACTTGACCTTTCACACACCTAAAAAATTAATGGAAAACTGCAATTTTTGGTCATCCTGCATTTAAATAATTGGACTGGTAAGTGGGAATGTCCTTAGATAGCTAAAATTGGACAGTGGTACCCAATGCCTGCACAAAGTCATGTAAAAATTTTAAAAAGGCACATTTACCTGTTTTCTGTTGATTTATGTGCTGCTGGTGATCTTTACTTACACTATTACCTAAGACCTATACATTCATAACATATGGCTACAGCAGCCATTTGGGAAATTTATTTGAACTGGAAAGTTTCTAAAAGACTGCAAAGGAAAACATAAGTTGTCCCAAAAGTCACGCTCTTTAGTTGCAGGTGGTCACTCAGGACTATTGACTTTGCTTTACACATAATTCTAAGAAACTTAGCTAGACAAACTCAACGTCCACAACAAAGTAGCAAAAGAAATTCAGGAGAGAGTTAAAAGGCCTTTGTTTGCTCAGGATCACAGTGGTGCCTGCAACCATGTAGGCAGGGAAGGTCACCTGAAAGAGGGCCTCGGGGATAGGTAGCAGTGGCAAGCAGACAAGGCAGTATCAGAATTAGAATCCTGTGTAGCCTGAGGGGCAAGACCAAAACACTGGCAAGTTGAAGCCAGGCAATAAGAAAAGAACCTAAAGCTCAGAATCTGAGGAGCAAGAGACTTGGGGTGGGAGTGCAACCAGACTCCAGGGCACAAGCTGTGGGTCTGCTCTACCCTCCTCTGGTAGCTGTGTGTCCCACAAGGAGGCACTTCACTCCCTGTTCTCCATTTGGGCTGGACAGCGGTAACATCTGTGGGGAAACCATTCATTCATACATTCATTCACTTAATAAACTTTAATTGTGAGCCCTCTGTGAGCCAGACACAATGTCAGAAGAAGGGATACGTGAGGGAGAAAAATGAATTCTGCCTGCGAAGAATTGAGTCTAGATGGAGGAAGGAAAGGCACAAGATGCAGGAGCAGAAAATAAGGAGGGGGGCTGCCTTAAATGGAGAGGTCAGAAAAGGGTTCTCTGTAGAGGAAATGTTAGCTAAGACCTGTCAAAGTTAATTATCTGAAGACTAATAATGTTGGGATTACTGACTCACAGCAAGGCAGAATAGGACAGAGGTTCCCTCGGAAGAGCCCCAGCAAAACCGTGGATCACAAGCGAAGTGACAGATACCAACTTTGACCTAGGGCCAGGAGGCTATGGTGTAGGAACAAGGGTTGCTGAGGGACTGAATGGAGTTTGAAGTTTAGTCTACCAGGTTCCTGGGATCCTTACCATCCCTATCTCGTCCCTTCGGAGATGTGCGACAGGTTCCAACAGTGCAGCTTTGGAAAGGTAAGGAGTGACAGACAGCTCAACTCCAAGAGCAATGAAAAAGTAGATTCCAAATTCAGCGTACATACAAACAGGCGCACATGCCCCCAGCCCTTCATGGAAGGGAAGGCGGCGGAAAGGGTTCAGTGCAACTGCCCATTTCCCCCAAAGACCCCTGGATACAAGTCTGGCTCTCTCTGGCTAAGAAAGCCAGGGAGTGTGCAGCATTTTACAAAACGTCCCACCCAACCTAGGAAAAAATTGTACAAGGTGCTTAAAGGAAAATTGTTCATTTACTGCACACGGAAACTTACCTCTTTAAAGTTTCGTTCAGGGAGCTAAAGTATGCATCCTAATCCTGGGTACCCAACGGGGCCATAATCAATATTTCACATTGTACCTTACCTTCAGAAGTCACTTTGCAATTAGTCACTAGCTATCCGAGCCCTGAAAGTTCCAGTTGCTCCACACAGTACGAGCTGGAGGGAGGGGCCAGGATGATGCTTCCCGCCCTGGACTGGAGTCTGGACTTTTGTTTAGTTTGAGTGCCTGTAGTTTAAGAGGGTCGCCAGGTTACCCTGAAGGGTTCGAAAGGAAACCACCACCTCCGGGAGGACTAGTGAGCAGCGGGAGGAGACCCCACCCCAGGCCGGCGAGGCTCTGAGCTCCCCGAGGGGCGGGGCCTAGAAGGGTTTGCGGGAGCGGCGGGGCGTGGGCGTGCCCGGAGCGTGGGCGTGGCCTGCGCGCGCCTGCTCAGTCCGCTCTACTCTGGGCGGCAGAGGCGACTCGCTGGAGCAAAGATGGAAGATTACCAGGGTTCCGAGGAGGTAACCGCCCAGCGGGCGACTGGGAGGGTGAAGGCCAAGACTTCTGGGCGCGCGGGCTCTGGCCTGTTGAAAGGGCCCCTAGATGCCTTCCTTGCACGGCACACCGGCCTCAGCGTCCCCGGCCAGGGCCCAAGGGCCCCGTACCCCGCAGCCCTCCTGGGCTTTGTGGCCGTTCCCCAGCCCGGAGGGCGCAGGGCCGGGCCTCCACCCCTGCCTGGGACGCGGCGGAGACAGCGCCTGGGCTCTCGGCGCCGGGGAGCCTTGACCCTGACCGGGCTGCGCTGCCAGTGGCGTCTGTCGGCAGGATGACATCACTCCGCCCTTTATCCCGGGGCGCAGACCCCAGTCCGGCCCCCTTCGTGCCCGCAAGCAGGGACTGGCAGACTGGTGCCTGCACTTAACACAGTCCGGAACAGCTTGTATGCGCGATATGGGTGTACGATACTACCTCCCAGTCCGTTCAGTAAGGGGTCTCAGCTCCAGGCTTTATGCTAAATGCAGACGTGCAAATAGCAGAACCTGCCTTTGTCTTCAGTTCCGCACCTTGTCCTTGAGTGCCGCTCCCACTCCCACCCTGGCCACCGTGAATAAGTACATTTTATTTTAGCTTGAGTTTGCGACGTTCATAAGATTGCTAATTCTCTTGGGAAGAAAAAAATTGTTATTGCCCCAAAAGAAATAAGCAGGAGATGCTCATGTAATCGGCGCCGTTAAAATGGTTTTAATGGAACAGAGCTGATGGACAAGGCTGCTGAGAAGGGTTGCTTATGTTTTTTTTCCGGGATAATCTCTGTTGAAATTCAAATAGAGCTGTGTACAGGGAGCCTGTCAGAAATAAAAACTATGGATCAATTTGGTAAGGTTTAATATCCATGTTTAAAAATTGTTTCAACGACTGTTTTGAGGAAAAATAATTAGATTTAAGGACTGACTCCAGTTTCAGTTTTCATCTGATTCCCTAACACAAAGTTTCTATAGCAGTATCACCAGTGTTTGAATGCTGGTAGCAACCAAGTGTGACAGGACTTGTGGTACCGCATACACTGTTAACTAAGATTGGAAAATGACTTGTATTATTTGACATCGAGTAAAACTTTTTAAAAAGGAAACAGCCTTGGAACAGGAAACCCTTTCTTCTGCATTCTAATTCAGACTTTCACAAGCGAGATGGCTAAGTGATTCATTATTCCAGATAAAAGCGACCAATATGTAAAATGAAGGGGCTGCACAGGGTGATCTGTGTTTTACACAAGATAGAAACCTTGAGGGGAAGAGGCCAAAACTGGCTTCTGCTAGATTTGCCTTCAGTGATTACTAGATTGTCCAGGTCCTCCATCTTCTCACCTAAGCCTTTTCTGCATATACTTAGATTTCATGGGGATTCTACTCTCAATCCGTTCATCTTTCTTGTGGAAGTTGAAACTGTCCAGTGTTTTCAGTCTGGTTTACTTCCCACTAAAATATCCCTCTAGCCTTTTCATACTTTCAGGTGGCAGTTTATACCAGGACTTTCCTTTATGGTTTAGGATTACTCTAGTCACTTGGAAGAGTCCTTTAAAGGTCTAGAAATTATTTACTAAGATATTTACTTTCCATTAACTTGGTGATTTGGTTTTGTTTATAAGTATGGCTTCTTGTGAGTATAGTGTGTTGAGATGGACAGCCAGTCCTTGTTCCTCCTGAAAAGGAATTCGCTCGAAGAGGGTAGAGCCCACAGTGGTCAGCAGCCAGGCAGAGAGGAAAACTCCTTACCCAAAGCAGGGCTTCCTGCCTTTATTCCACCAGGTCGCCAGGGCCTACCCTCCAGAGCTAAGGGCAGTTCAGGACTCAGCAGTAACTTTTTGTCCTATAAAAAAGCACATTGACAAGCACCTGACCGATGTTATTTTCAGCATAACCTTTACCTATTTAATTCTACCATATGTAAAGAGGAAAGAGCAAAACTCTGCTTTGGGCAGTAGACTGCTACGGGCAACCAGCCTCCCTCATCAGCTGCTAGTCAGTCTTGAAGTCGGACAGCATTAAGATAAAAATTTATGAGCCAGGCATGATGCCACATGCCTGCAATTCCAGCTACTTGAGAGGCTGAGGCAGAAAAGATTGCCAGGTTCAAGGCCAGCTTGGGAAATTTAGTGAGACCCTGCCCAAAAATAACATTTTAAAAGGGCTGGGGATATAGGTAGTGGTGGAGCACTTGCCTAGCATGGTTTCAATTCCCAATGCCAAACTATTATCCAAGAATAGTTTATAATCATTGTAAATTTTGTGACTAATGGTTGCTTTAAAAAAGAAAAAACCTGGGCCAGGGATTTAATTCAGTGGCACTGCACCTGCCTCACAAGTGCAAAGTCCTGAGTTCTAACCCCAATAACCCCCCAAAAAGAAGAAAACCTCAAGTTTTATGCCCCCTGATCAGTTTATATCAGGAAAGAGTGTTACAATCTTTATAATAGATGCCTAAGTTGCTTAAATTAATTTCTGTAAGTTGAGTAATTCATTAAACATCTGTACTGATTAATAACCCTAACAGTTGAAATGGAAGGGGAGATTGAATGCTAGTTTAAAGTGAAGTCTTAGACTGTAGCATGATTTAAACAAAACAAATGCTTTAAATTACATGCACATTGTAGTCCTACTGCAGCTTGGTGGAGCTGCTAGAGCTTTGATGCTTAGGAGCCTAACAATGTTTCAGAGTCTCCTTGTAATACATTCCTCAGTAAAGTGAATAGCCTTTAGGTGTTTTCTAAAATATTAATTTCTAAATTATGTTCTTACCTAAACTTGCATTTATCAGTACATTGGAAACAACTTTTTTTTGAAATAAATAAAATTTAATTTTCTTCCTTACAGACTGCTTTTGTTGTTGATGAAGTAAGCAACATTGTAAAAGAGGTAAGAGGAAAAATGTCCACTTCTTGTTTGATGGCTTAAATGAGTGAAAATACTGTATGAATTAAATACTGTTTTGAAATCATTTCAACAATTATTGAGCCTGTGTGTTTTGCTTTTTTATTTTTTGGTACCAGGGATCCCTTGCGAGGCAGGCAGCGGCACCATTGAGCTAAATCCCCGGCCCTGTTTTGCTATTTTAAATGTTTTATTTCATGATTTAAATAAGATTACTCCCAGAACATGTTAAATCAGACAGGAAATTTTATGTGACACTATTATTGACCGTTAGCAAAGCTAGATTCTATGAAGCTTTTAGCATAGAAGACTCTCATCATACAAATGTTTCCAGTGTTTAGTGAAGAAGGATACAAAAAGAAAAAAAATGGAATGGAATGGAATGACTTCCAGTCAGTCAAGATGTGATCTTCTTACCTTCCTAAACTATCCACATTATTATTATGGGTCACAGTACCTCCCATAGATTAAGGGGAGGCTGAGAGACAGAGAGGGTATTTGTTCATTCATTCATTCACTAATTCATAAAATACTTCTGGAGGGAGCATGCCATGGACTGACCTCCTGGAGTTTACAGTCCAGGAGAGGAGGGCAGACTTAAGACACTTACCCTAGGAGCTGTTCGCTGGAACCTGCTGTGTGGTGTCACAGAACATGGTGCAGTGAGAGCATTTAAAAGGGGAATTTGAGCCCATTTAGAATGAACACAGCAAAGAAAGGAAACAGTGCTTCTACGCTATAGACAGAATGTGCAGAGGCCTTGAGGCAGTGGGCATCCTAGGAGTGTGTGAGGGAGTAAAAGGAAGCAGGTTGCTTCAGTGGTACAGAGCTAGGAAGTTCCAGGGCACAAATGAACCCAGAAAGTCTTCCTAGTTTAGCTTCCCTGCCCAGGTATGAGCACAGATATTGAAGCCACCAGCTAAAAGTTATTAGATGATTTTTCAGGGTATCACGTAAGATTCCCTATGTAATTTGGGGTTGACCTTTATTGATTAATGATAAAGAGTGATAAAGAACCACAGCCTGTTTCTGTGAAAAATATCCAACAGCTAAATGATTTTCTTATCTACTATATGCGCTTTCAAGGCAGGTGGCGGAACCGCTGAGCTAAATCCCCGGCTCCTACTGTTTTTTAAAGTATGATGTTTTGTTTGAACAGTGAGGAGCAGGAAGGTATGTGATTTAAACTACAACCAAGAAGAGTTGATTTGTTAGGAATGTGGTTTTGCCTCACTTTGTTATTTGTATTAACTTTCACTTGGTTACCAGGCAGCAAGTATATTTGAAAAGTACACATTGCCAATCTGAGAGGAAACATGAGGTGACGTGGCAGTGTTACTTTAACATGTACTACTGTTGAGCAGCTTTTCCCCTCCGTATTAATATATATTAATTACTATTGGAGAAGAACATCTAATATACTTTTAAGGAATAGAACATTTTCTAGCAAGGAAAAAATAAAAGTGCTTATGTCCAGATAGTAAAGCAGTGAGGGCCAGGGATTTAGCTCAGTGATGCCACCACCTGCCTTGCAAACACAAGGTCCTGAATTTGATTCCCAGTACCAAAAGAAATAGCAGTAGTGAACATTAAATTCAGTTGAATCAAAATGTTAAATTCATTTGACACTGTATAACTGTGGATCTTGCAGCCAACATAATTCTTGCTTAAATGCAATATGACACCGTTAAACGAAGGATATATATTTGTAAAGGAATAATCATGGGGCTAAAAATAAACATGTATTTTATGTAAGTTCTATTTCAGCAGTTCCCAGGCTGGTCCAATTCAAGTACTAACTGGCAGATGTTTGGTTTGTTCTCTACCTGTGACCCCCGTGCATTGTTTTCCAGGCCATAGAAAGTGCCATCGGCGGTAATGCTTACCAGCACAGCAAAGTCAATCAGTGGACCACCAATGTAGTAGAGCAAACTCTAAGCCAACTCACCAAGCTGGGAAAACCATTTAAATATATCGGTAATGGATTTTTGTTTCTTGTGAATTTTAGTGTTGGTTTTTTAAAACATTGATTAGAGGTGTGTCTGGTACCAGAAAAAAAGACCTAACTTGGCAATTTAGTGCCTGACCTCAAAGAAAATTTCTCCCAGGAGTAGGTCACTTGTGTGCCATGTGTTGCCATATTCTTGGCCTTTTCGCTGGTACAAGTGAAATGATTTCCTTTTAGAACAAGGAAGTGGTAAAGGAAGAGAAGTAGGTAATTTGTCAATAGAATGTGACAAAGCAGTCTACTCCTATGATTTTCTTTTGGATTTTTAAAAAATGTATACAAGTTTGCAGTATGTCATGATTACATTTATTGTGGGGAATTGGTAAGATACATTTAATTATTTTTTGTCCCTGTCCCCTCATCCCTCCCTGTTCCATCCAACTTCTTCCCCTTCCCATTTGAAAAAGTTCATTTCCATTTTTTCAATTTTTTTAATCCCTTTTCTCTTCCTTCTGTCCATCTCTTATTCCCCTTCCCCATTTGAAAACAATTCCCTACATCCTGTTATCTATCCTGTTTTCTGTTCTTTGTATTTTCTCATATAAGAGAAACTACTGGATTCTTAAATTGTGTCTGATTATTTAACATGAGGTCTTGAAGTGGGTTCATTTACTTACAAATGCCTCAACTTTGTTCTTTATAGCAGAACAGTACTCCACTGTGTATAGATAACCACATTTTCTTTATCTATTCATCTGCTGACATAATGGGCCACCATCCAAGATTTAGCTATTATAAATTATGCTGCTATAAATATGGGTATATACATGTCACTGTAATATGTCTTTAGCTCTTTTGGAAAGATTCTTAGAAGAATAACTTAAGTCAAATGGAACCTCTAGTTTTAGTGTTTTGAAGAATCCCCATGGTGGTTGTACTGGTTTACATTCCCACCAACAATGTGTGTTTTTCCCCTGCAGCGTCACCAGCACTTACTATTTTTCTTGATGATAGCCATTTTGGAATCTTGGTACAATTTTAATTTTTATTTCTCTAATGGCCAGCAATGTTGAACATTTTTTTTCAGGTATTTATTGGCCATCTAATTTAAGTGTCTCTTCAACTCAGTTGCCCATTTTTTGGGGTGGGGGGTACAGGGGATAGAACTCCGGTCCTTGTGCTTGTGAGGTAGGCACAAGTTGTTATATATTCTTGATGTTAGTCGGTCTGAGGTATAGCTGGTAGAATTTCTTCCCATTCTGTAGGCTGTCTTTTCACTCGGTTGTTTCCTTTGAGGTGCAGAAGCTTTTTAATTTGATATGACTCCATTTGTTGGTTCTTGGTGTGGGGGGTACAGGGGATAGAACTCCGGTCCTTGTGCTTGTGAGGTAGGCACAAGTTGTTATATATTCTTGATGTTAGTCGGTCTGAGGTATAGCTGGTAGAATTTCTTCCCATTCTGTAGGCTGTCTTTTCACTCGGTTGTTTCCTTTGAGGTGCAGAAGCTTTTTAATTTGATATGACTCCATTTGTTGGTTCTTGGTATTATTTCTTGTACCACTGGGGTTCTGCTCAGAAGTCCTTGCCTATCCCTGTCTCTTCAAGAGTTGTACCTATTTTATCTTCTAGCACTACCCCTGCGGTTTTTATTAAGAACATCAACCATGAGTTTGACATACATACATTAAAGGGAAGCAAAACAAAATTTATCTTGCTAATATTTTTCTAATAAGTTTGTTTTAATTTAAGTGACCTGTGTAATTATGCAGAAGAATGGAGCTGGATTACACACGGCAAGTTCCTGCTTCTGGGACAGCAATACTGATGGTGTGTATAATTTTCATGTCAAGTCTTGTCATGATGCATATTCAGGTTTTCAAGTACTTTCTCAAACTATGCTTAGATATGTATTAAAAGCGATGTTTTATGAAATAGGGGCTTTGATGTCTCACGTCTTCACATGTATCTTTGTGTTACTCACCATTTTATGAAGACTTGCCAGCCTTATTTGTAAACCATAAAGAAGTGGTTTCTTGACTCTTGCCCTTGGGGTGAGAAATTAGAACATTCTGTCCCCTTGTTTTCCTCATTTTCAGTGCCAGTCTGTCTTTCTCCTTAGGTAGCTGCACTGTGCGATGGGAGAACAAGACCATGTATTGCATTGTCAGCACCTTTGGACTGTCCATTTGATCTCATCAAGCCTGTGGCTTCCTTTTGTCTCAAAGTTTCTGTTCCATCTTCTAACTACCAACCATGAATTCAGTGACACCTTTTTCCTCTCTGTTCTGTGGCATTCTCAAAATGTAGAGAAATAAACCAAATGACTGCTTTGTATATGCACACTAAGTCTCTATGGGTAGTTCTGGAGCTTGTATTGCCACCTGTCTTAACTCTGTATTTCTTTTCAAAGGTGCTAAAAACTGAATTCTGCAAGTGGGACATTTTATTCTCTGAAATGATTCATTAATTTTCCATACTTTATACTTTTGTTAGAATAAATTATTCAAATTTAAAGCTTGTGCTTTCTTTATAGTCTACACAGCATTCTACAAGTGAATTCTTCACAGTTAGTGAATTCAGAACCTATAAAACCAAAGAAAAGGAAAAGTTGCATTCAGCTTTCTGCCATCTGTGCTGCCCTAAGAGCCACTCTCTCTAGGATCAGCATTGTGGGGAAAGAGGAGAGGCCAGGTTTTTGGCAGGCCATGCTGCAAGGTCACCTCCTGCTTCCTGTCAGTGATGAAGCATGGGTCCATTGGCAAAATCGCAATCGCTGGAGATCACAGAGCTGGGGAGATTGTTGTGACCCTCACAGGAAGATTAAACAATGTGCATAGGTGAGTCCCAGGTTCTGTGTATAACTCAGAGATGTAGATAATAGAATAATCTACTTCTATCCTATCAGTTTTGTGTCATTATATTACTTCCACCGTCATCATGGACCAAGAAGCAACAGCAAGACAAAAACAGGAAAGAAAAATCCTAGGATTGTTTTTAGGAATGTAATACATACATATATACAAATAAGATGCCTCAGTGGAATCACAAAGTTGTATCTGCTTAGGCATGAGGGCTTTCTGATTTCACCCATGGGACCATGATCCTGACAGCACTGCTGGATTCTGATGAGATTTCTCTGCTAGGCATAAGACACCCCTCACTCTTAAACCCCCACCCATTCAGGAAGTTGAGGGATAGGACGTGTGAGACAGACCTCATACATGCTTGACCCAAAGCTGCAACACTTCAACTTTAGCTCCATGTCTCTTTTTTCCTTCCCTTCCTCTCTGTCCTGAAAGCCTTTCCACTGAGCTACATGTCCAGCTGATTTTAAAATTTATTTTGAAGTTGCCCAGGTTGGGCTTGAACTTGTTATCCTCTTTCCTCAGCCGCCCAGTGCTGGGATTAGAGGTATGCACCACCACACACACCCTACCATAGCCATGCCCAGCTAGACCCCATGTTCTTTTTCAGTAGCAGTCACAAATTGTTTTAGTACTTTATGGCTTACAGAATGCTTTTATAGTCACTTTGTGTCCACTACAATTGTGCAATTATTTAAAAATCACGAAGTGTTTGGAGATTATATGACTGATTTAAAGTCACATATCTAATTAAGTGGGGAGGTGAGCCCCAAAGCCTGGCCTTCCATCAACCTCTGGGGCTCAGCTGTGAGCTGCATCAGACAGGGTAAGAAGGATATTGCTCAAACAACGCCTTGCTCTTGTCTTCAGAGCCCTCTTACTAAAGCACTCATGCCTGAAAGACAAAATTACCTCCATACACAAAGAACAGATAATATTAAAGATTGAATGTTTAACATTTATTGGAAAAGGACACTGTCAGAATGAAGCCACTCCCAGATTGCAAGTTTGTCATAAATAAACTTTATTGACTTCTGTCTGATTGTTTACAATCACTGATCAGGTGATACTGCTCCACCGACAGTTCCAAAATCTGTTACACAGTTCTATCTTTTGAGTTTTGTGTGTGTGCGTGCGCGCGCACGCGTGTGTGTGTTTTTAACAAATATTTATAGTCTTTATAAAAAGGCAGTTTTTAACAGCAGAAAATTCTTTTTCATAGTATGTGATTACACTTACCAGAAGATCCAAAACATCAAGATAAAATGCTCAAGTTGTTACAGACTACGGCAACTTCCTTTGGCCTTGGGAAAAGATTCACTCCTGCCCCCTAAAAATCTATCTTCTAAGGCAACAGGTTTCTAAAACCTTCAAAGTCCACAAATACACTTTAGTGTCTTAAATGTTCATAGAGAAGTTCCTTTTAATTATCCCCTTCATGGATGCCCAGTTTCTCCTTAAAATAATTCAGGAAATGCTACTGGCCATATTATAAACTATCATAACTGTGCCTTCAATATATATAGTTCATAAAATACTAAGGCTGGTGACATTTGTCTTGTAACCTATCCAGTGGGGTGGGTTTACTTATTGCAGTTATGTACAGTGATCGCCTTCCAAGACTTAAATATATTGTATATATTGCCTTCTGTACCCTTTCAAATGGGGCTTGAGAGAAAATGCCACCACCTCACACTGTAATGATTTAATAATAAATCAAGCAGATCTATTATCCATGTGGATAATGAAGCTCTCCCTAGGGAAACTATAAAATTGCTCTGTTTGTCATCTAGGTTCCCCTAAACTGGGCCAATATAAAAGAATCCCAAAGATGATGTTAGTTATTCAAGCTATTACCATGAAAGAACTAGAGTCAGCCCTTTGAACTTACAATTTAAGGTTGCAAACTACAATACCTTAAAACACTACAATTTTCTTATTACTATCAGTTTCTGGCAGACTTTAGTGTTTTAACCTATGCCTATGGGATATATTCTACATGCTAAATGCTCTGTAAGCAACTTTTTACATAGAGTATGTAATATACATGATGCATTGTAGATTAAAAATTAGAAATGAATGGTTTAATAATTATCCCTTTATGTGCTTTCTTTGTAAATTTTTTCTTGTTCCAACAAAAATACACCCATTTTTTATATCACTGATGTTACTAAAAATCAAAGTATGAGGACACTTGGTCTTGAGTTTATAATTACACTATAAAACAAAGTTTTTAAAAGTTCTGAGGTCTGGATAAATGCCTCACATACCTTTACATTTACTGATAAAACAACAGCATTTCAAATCATTGATGATTCTTTTATAATGATTAAAACATGTCAATTATGCCACATAATAGAATGTTAATCAGCACAAGTCAGTCTTCCTCAGTATACATAAAATTATTTACAAGTAGTCTTAGAAGTTGTAAAAACTTGGTAACAGAAAATTTTTTGAATACCGCTTGAGTACACAGAATCAAAAAGTCATCACAGCATTGCAAATGTAAAAATCATGTAAACTTGAATTACCCTTGCAGTTATAAAGTTTTCTTTCAAACATTCATATTTACAAGGTTTTTAAAACAAATGTAAATGGAATCAATATTAAAGTATATCATCATTAAAAAGACAGGAAGTCATCACGAATGGTCTCTCACAAGCATCTCTAGGGTCTGGGCACCACCTGCAATGCAGCTCAGAAATGAGTTGGAGCACAGATGGAGTGAATGTAGTAAGTCCCTGTAGGCCTCTTTCACCAAAAAGGCAGCAGGCAGGAAAGCTAGTTACCCTGCATTAACAGAGACACTGTTGTGCATGGCCAGGGAGGAATGGAGGAAACTATCTGGAGTCTGACAAGGAGCTGCACTCTCGGGCCCTTCTCTGATGCCCGTGCTTCACCAGTGCCAGAAAGATCTTTCTGTTGCAAAATGACCCATCTACTCACCTGATCCCTGTGGGACTCACCAAGGATAGGAAATGACTTCCAAAGACGTTACCTCTATACATAGACACTTACAATGTTTTACCTTCTTTTCATCTAGTTTCCAAATATGAAAACTGAAAAACATTTCTGGCAATGAAGAATCGGTAATAATAATTCATGTAGCTTTTATTTTAAAAAAAATAAAGTTCTATGGGGTTTTGTGTCCAACAGAGTTGCAGAAACTACTATTCACTGGAACAGGAATCTACCTGTGTCCACACACTACTGCCCCCTTCAGCCACAGGAAATGTGCTTCTATTCATGTACATGCACAAACTTGCACAGAGCCTTGGGAAGCACCATGGCACAAGACCTTGTCCACAGACCTGGTAACTTGTGCGTTATCTCAGCCTGCCCCATTCAGCTTAGCTAACCCTCCTTGGATCACCATGGCACTATCACTTCAGCTTCCTGGATAGGGAAGGGCTGGAGCCTGGCCAACTGCCATTCTCCTTGACACCCTTACATGGCTCACCAAATGCAGTCAATGTCATCACTGCGTGTGTACTGACCACCTGATGGCAAGGACTGCCCACTAGAGGCAGCAACAGAAAAGCAGGCTTCTCTTTGAATGTGGAGTGTTAAAAACAAAATACAAAACTAAACAGTATAGTGGGGAAGAGAGGAAAGGCAGAAAGAAAGAAGGGTAATGCTGCCATGGTGGACATCACAGTTCATGGGCCTGAAATTAGTGAATTGTTTTTTTAAAAGAAATAATATAAAACTCAGATTCTACGAAAAATTTTTTCTGTGCCACTGAAAGCATACCCTCTCATCTGAAATCAAATAAAAGGATTTGGCTTTTTAACTTTTTATCAACTTCTCTTCCCAGACAGAGCCACTATGACAACATATGGCCCAACTGTTCAGTTTGCCTTCTGGTTTGGTTTTTCTTTGTAAAATATGTAAACAAATAAGGAGCAGGAAACTTGTGCCTATAAGAAAAGTCTGAACATCAGCAGGTAGAGAGGAAGGCCAGGACACAGTCCCAGAGGGAAGGCAGGCACCTGGCCTGAGTCCTGCCCAGGGCCCGGGGCTTAGTCGCTGTCCGACTCCTCCTTGTATTTGGCCCGAATAGCTTGGCCATTCTGCAGTGGCATTTCTTCATAGTCACTCCTGTTGTAAAAGAGAACTCTGACACCATTCCACTCTCACGGGTCTCGAGTGACTCTTCCTGCACACTGACACACAATCTGAAGGGACCCATTTCAAAGCTTCCCTCTGTGTTCTGTTGCCACCTGATCTTGCCCACTCCTCCCACTCAATGGCCAGGGCTCATCTGGCCAGAAAACTGCTCTTTCTGTGGTCACCACGTGCTATAGGCATTCTGCAAAGGATGCCACTAAATCTAAGCTTGAAACATATGAAAACAGCCATGGAATGAGATGACACTCCAGGTAACGTTCTAATATCTTAAAAATAATCTTAGATAATAATATGCATTCAGTACACATGCAAAGCCAGGTGGGAATGCTCTGCATGATATGGACTTCAGAGACAGTGACTTACCCATAAATCACATCGTCATCAGAGTCATTGAGCATGGAAAATGCAGGATTGTCTTTCAACTGGGACTCTGAAAACCAACAAAAGCCTTTTTATCTCAAGCAAGTTATGTTACAGAGGTCTGAAAGCTGGCTGCCAACCCTTGCTGGCTGCCACAGCTATGGAGATAATTGTGTGTACATGGACAAGTCACCTCAGGAGTCTATCTTAGCTATGAGAGAGGTGTGCAGATTAACGGTGGTCTGTAGGAAAGAGCTGGTGGTCACAGGTGCCTACACATGGGAACTGCATTTTCTAGGTCCACGCAGGCAGCAGGAGTGGGGACAGGCCCCAGCATACAAGGCTCTGTCCTGCCCGCTCTGAACCTGTCCCAGCTTGTAGCAGCCTCCACTAAGTTTCTCTGTCTGTAAAGTGGAGTGATTATTCCTTTTACATCATGCCACTGTGAAGCTCCAGGAGATGCAGCTTGTGAAGGTGTCTGAAAGCTCAGCACCAATGCACTGTATTTATCCCAGCTATTCTCACCCTTCTCCAGCCCAGTGTGAGGGCAACCTTGTTTTCTTTTTTGGGGGGGGTTGGGGGTTGGCTCTCCTTTGAGTGGTCAGGAAACTAGTATTCCACAGACTACTTCATGTGGCCAATGGGTATCTGCTTGTTCCAGGAACCACTGACAAAATTAATTTATTCATCAAGTGCTACAATACACAACACAGCTCAATATATGCTGTCTTCTAACCCAAACTCTAGGCTCACGGCTTAACTGCCTTGCCTCTCTCTTCCCAAACAGAAGACACCATGAATCATGGTGCCCAGCATCCACAGAAAACCATTAAGTTAGTCTTGAACCAATGAAGACTTCTGTTTCAGACACTCGGCTAGCAACCCAGACATGAGGTGGCTTACCATATAAAGCATTCTTCGATGGAGAATACACAAAGGCCAAAGTGTACAGATAGAAGTTCAACAAGCCATAGAAGGATAAGAATTCCACTGGTGGTGCAGTCAAGGGAGGGAACATCAGGCTTGAAGGTTATACCGGTATCTTTGCCCTCAGTCTGGTCCTCCTCCCTACCATCAGTAGCCTTTTTGGTGCTAACCACAAACAACTGGGCCCATAACAAAGATGTCACGACTCCCTAGATCAAGCCCATGGCCACAGACCTTAATAACCCTTCAAGGTCACAGGAGCTAACAGGTGAAGTGTGACCTCCCGTCAGAGGGAACTAGACTGAGACAACACTCAGTGGGTGTCCTCTCACTGCAGGATGCAGGGTCTGGTGGGACTGAGTCATGTCCACACACAGGTCAGGAAGAGAACCCATGTCTCCTGACATAATTTAATACAGACTTGAAACTCTCAGAACAACTGTTCATGACATACTCTGGGTTACAGAGCCCTTTGAAAACCTGATGATAGCTTAGTGTGAAATCAAGTCAGAAAAAAAATTTTAAATCATGTGTTAATTCTAAGGATATAAGCAGTCCTAAGGCAAGAGCCTAGAATTTAAAGGATTAATTTGCTCAGCATCCCCATCAAGGGGGTCAAAGAAGAGACACACCTAGCATCCACCTGACTAAAGACAAGGAACCCAAGAGGAACAGCTGCTAACCAGGCTTGGTGAGGGAATCCCGCAACTCTGAGCCCCTTCCTGCATGCACAAGCTCAACCTGCTAAGTTGCCAAAGCACTGCAGAAGTGACATCGAGATAGCCTGGGTGACGGTGAGGTAGATACTGACATACAAATCAATCAGCCCTTGGGCCACTGCTGGGTGCGCTCCTGGCTGATCCAGGTTCAGAGCCGTGACATTCAGTCACACAGACCTGCACAACGGAAGAAAAGCACCGCAGGTGGAGCAGGCTCCAGAGCACTGAGATCTGGGTTTGGGTCCGGACTCAGACACACGGTGACCAATCTCAAGTAGTGGCCTAGCCCTGCATATCTGACTTCCTGCCAACAGAGGAGGGTGGTGACCTAGCTGACCCTTCCTAGGGTGAGAGATGCCTGTTAGCACAGTCAAGACACATGAGTCCCTGGGCCTCCTGAGGACAACCCACAAGGAGTGAAACGTCTCCTCCTGAGGGTCCAGACCTGTACACTAACCACCACACACAGCATCCCTTGGTCTCCCACGAAAAGGATATAATTCTGGTAATGAGTTGACAGTTCTGCTACAAAGTTGTCCTGCAATACTTGTGCTCCAAATCTCAAATAAAGGATGACGATGCTGAAAAAAGAGGAGAGGAGACAATACGTAAAAATATAGAAAGGAGTGAAACTAGCTTTGTACAACTTGTGTTTATCCCATTAATATTTATAGTCATGGAAACCATACACACACACACAGAGCCTCCTCACCACCCACTGCCTCTATTCCTTGGGTCTCAGATCCAGGAGGGCCTGACCTCTGGTGAGCTTTGGGACAGGCAAGGTGACCTGAGGTAGAGCACTCCCGTTTCAAACCAGGAATCTGGAAGCAGTGCCCACCATTTTCTCCTTCCCAGCTCCAGTCCCCTCACTTCCTGTCTTCAACAACAACTCCTCGGACAGATCGACTCCCATAAGGGAGGCCACTCTCCTCAATCATGTCCCCCTGTTGGAACAGTGACCGACGGAGTGACGAGAACAGCACACCAGTGGTTCAGCCCTCCGGGACTACTGGGGCCATCACTGACTCTTCCTGGAACAACTCTGTGGCCTCCCACCAGGATCCCAGCTGTCATATCCCTCCCATGGGTGCCCCCTGACCCACCTGCAAGCTCATCTCCACCCACCTCTGAGGGACAGTCAGCTCCAAGCCCTCCTGGGGTTTCCCACCACAGAACAAAACCTTGACAACTCTGGTGACCTGCAGAGCCCACTCCGACCTCCAGGAAACTGCCCTTACCATCTCCCCCAATTTGGGCCTGTGATGCTGCCGCACCTCCACTTGCCAAGGCTGTTGCCACCTCAGGCTGCTTCCCATCTTCTCAGGGTCCTCCTTCCCCACCTCCAAGCCCTCGGGCCTCTGTTGTCATCATGTCTGCCTATCTTACTCTCGTGGGGCCCTTATGCTACTTATTTCTTTGGCTGTCACCTGTCTTCCTCTATGGATGATAAATGCCACACCAGGCGGTGCCTGTCTGCTGGCACAGGCACCACTTGATCAATATTTTTAGGACAAATACACGAATCCCCTTGACACACATCTGAAGACAGATCACAAGAGCAGAATCACTCTTTGGAAGTCATACAAGGGCCATGAAGTGGGAGCAGCTGCGTGTGGACTGGGAGGCTTGAGGGTGACAGTGTGTGAAGTGTGTTGATTTATGTAAGTGAAAAAACATGTATTTGAGCATGTGTGTGAGGGTAAAAGAAGGTGTGCATGTTAGGGTCTGTGTGAGAGGGTATTTGTTAGTATATGTGTGAGGGGAGCATGAGTGAGGGGGTGTGTGAAGGTGTGACAGAGTGTCACGGTTTATATCTAGATGGTTCCGAAGAGCCTCATGTGCTCCTAGGTGGGACTTTTAGGGGACTGGATTAAGGAACATTATAGCTGACTTGCCGTTAGGATGTGGGGTCTTGTCTGGTCAGAAGAGGCAGTCACTGGGGGCTTGACCTGGAAGAGTATATCTGCCTCCCTTGCTCCTCCCTTCTCTTTCTCTGCTTCCCTGCCACCATGAGGTGAGCTTCTCATCTGCCCTATGCCTCTGCTATGCTGTTTCTTCTTTGCTGATCATGGACTGAAACCTAAGGCAAAATAAACTTCTGCTCCTTAAAGTTGTGGTTATTGGGTATTGTGTCTCAGTGACAAGAAAATGACTAAAACACAGTTTTGATACCAGAGAAATAGGGTTGTTGCTGTGATGTTACCCAACCATGTGGTTCAGAAGCCTTTGGAACCGGTTCACAGGGAATTATAGAAAAGTTTGGAGATACCAACTAGAGAAGCCCTCAAATGCTGTGAGCAGAGGTTGATGGGAGATTCTGGTCAGAGTTCAGAAGATCCGAATGCTGATAGAAATGGAAAAAGTAAAGACCAGGCTCAGGAGGTTTCAGTTGGGAACAAACACTCCACTGGCAGCTGGACTCCAGACCATGTGCAATGTCCTCTAACACAAAACTTGTCTACATTTCCCTATGTCCTGAAACTTTGTAAATGCCTGAGAATGAAGGTGGCTGACTAATTAATCTAGTGGAGAAAATTTCAAGGCAGCTCACCATTCAGGCTCTGGCATGGGTACTATTGGGGGCTTTTGGTCAGCTCTCCATTGAGAATCAAGATGGTACAGCTGAGTGATTTTAAGCTTTGAGTTTTACCAGAAAAAATGTTGCTGTGAAGTTGGGGCCTATAAAGCTGGAGCAGAGGAGTGCCTGGTTGCCGAAAAGATTAGTTTTAAAAAGAAGCCATAGGCTCGGGATGTAGCTCAGTGGCATTGTGCCTGCCTCGCAAGCAGAAGGTCCTGAGTTCAATCCTGAGTACCAAAAAATGAAAAAAAAAAAAAAAAAAAAAAAAAAGAGAAGCCAAGTATTTTACATCAGGACAAAGAAAAATGGCTTGGGGAATCAGCAAAACCCTACCCTTCTCAAGCTCAAGCGTGCAAAGCTGTAAAACTTTCAATTGAGAAGACAAGGCACTCTGCTCCAGAACAGCAGTCTAAGAAATTAGTTCCCCAGAATTTGGTTCACAGTGCTCAGCCATCCAGGCACTTGGGGCTGCTACAGCCAAAATTCAAGGGAGCCTAGCTACTGCTCAAACTGGTGATAGACCTTGGCATCATCTACAGTGCTGGTTTTAGACATGCAGAGTTGCAAAAGTTATAGGTTCAAGGAGGCTTCTGCCTAAATTTCAAAAGACCTGGAAGGTCAGACAGTTTGCCTGAGAGGACAGTATGTGAAGCTGTGAGAGTGAAGCCACAGGTCCAACAGAGACACAAGAAGTTGGAGAAGCCAGGAATGTAGAACATCTGAGGAAAGCAACAAGGAATGAGCACAAAGCCAGTCCAAGAGAGGTCATGAGAGCTGCAACCACTGATAATGTCATAGGGCCAGGGCTGTCCAAGCCATTTGGAGTTCATATCTCATCACAGCTTACCCAGAGGTTCTGGACATGAAGCTACAGGATTTAATGTTTGCTCTGATGGGTTTCTGTCTTGCTTTGGTTCCACTGCTTTTTATCTCCCTCTTGTTCTCTCTTGAAATGGGAATGTTTATCCTGTGCCAGTATATGCTGAAAGTATTTAACTTTTTAAAAAGTTTTACAGGGGCTCACAGCTAAGAGTTTGCTTTGAGTTTCAGAGAAGATTTTGGGCTGGGACTTTTCAGCTATGCTCAAACTGTCAAGACTTTGGCAACTCTTACACATGGTATGTTTTGCACAAAGAGACGCACATAAATCTTTTGGGGGCTAGGGGCAGAATGTTATCATTTATATCTAGACATTCCCCAAGAGCTTCATGCTTCTAGGTGGGGCTTTTGGAAAATGACTGGATTATGGGGCCTTATACCTGGTAGGGTCTGGTTGGGAGAGGCGGGTCACTGAGGGCACAACCTGGAAGGACAGATCTCCCTCCCTGACTCCTCCTTTCTCTGCTTCCAGCTGTCCTCCACCAGACCCACCATTTCTTTCCTGCCTTGGAGCCAGCCAACTATAGACTGAATCCTAAACAGTGAGCCAAAATAAACCTCTCCTGCTTTAAACTGTGTCTCAGTGGCGAGAAAGTGACTAAGACACAGGGTGTGAGGAGGTGTGCTTGTTAGTCTGTGCTGGTTGCGTGGGGGACACATGAAAAGGTATAGAGACAATGTGTGCTTCAGATTCTGAGCAGAGGCCACTTGGACAATATTTAAAACATATACTTTCGCATGACTTTAGTTGCTGAATGAAACCAAAGTGCATTTAGAAGTCCGAGCTGGACTCCCACGTCTAGGGGTGAAGCGGGAGACTCCGCCACAAAGGAGTCCTCACCCTCAGGAAGGTTGGGAGCTCCAGAGCCAACCTGGAAAACCTGGCAGAGGGCCAGGCCCCCTGAGGCCCTGGATGGCTTCCATCCAGGAAAAAGTCCACATCCACTTATTTGCCATCCAAACAATCAAAAAGGAATGAAGATCACTATTACTCTCCTGGATTTTCATTTTAGGAGACAGAGGCAAATTAAACAAAAAATAATTCTTAAGAATTTTTCAAAGAAACAACTTTTTCTATTCAGGGCACCACAGGCTGGGCACCGCAGTTCTTCCCTGGGGCCAACTGTGCTGCTTCCAACACATGCAACACTAACTCACACCTGTCCTCAGAGCACTAGCAGGATCCCAAGGCCCAGAGCCACCCGCCCCCACCCATTCACAGTATTCTCTTTTCCAGCAACAGTGTATGCAGCACACCCGGCGGGTGTCAGCGACGGTCAGGGTGCTGTGGTCTGCCCTTCCTACTCTTGAACACACAGAACCTACACCTCAGGGCCCTTACATCTTCAGTACCCCAGCCTTGGGCAGAGGCCAACTGACTTCACATATGGGGCCAAAACCACCAATAATAAAATCCACAAACAGAAGAGATACTCATGACAGTAGAATGAAAGTTCAAAGTTACTTTGTAACATAAAGTCTTACCTAATAACAAGCACTACAAAGGTCAACGCAGTCAAAAATTTTAACCTGAGATCTAAAAAAGAAACATGCTCAGCAAATTCCACTTGCATCAAGAAAACCAGTCCCTAGCCCCACACCCTCCCCACCAACCCTCTGCTTTGGGCTTTAGCCTGGGGGAGCTCACATAACCCCCTTCTGGAGGTACATATGGGGGAAGGGATCAGGGGACTCACTCTGACCCAGGACTATGGCGTGGTCTTGACAGGACTTGGGCTGCTTTCACAGCCCCAAAGCACCCAGGGCCCCCAGATTCCACTCAAAGACCTCCCTCCAAATGGGTAATCACCCACTGGGGCCTCTCACGGCTCCCAGGGACCCAATGCTCCCTCACGTGCACTGGGAGACTCCAGTTCTGCCAGGTGGTCCCCGCAGTGGTGCTCACCCACATAGGGCATGTTGCGGAGCTCTGAGCATGCCCGTACTATCAAGAACAAGAGGTACAGGATGTACACAGCTGCTACCACCATGAAGAAAATCTTCATTCCCTAGGGAAAAAAATGGCACTTCAGTGAGAAGGGACCTCAATGCACATGCACACAGCTTCTCCCAGAACCCCACAGGCAGGAAGGTCAAGCACAACGCAAAGGTACCTGGAGCCCCAAGGTCAGCCCTGGACACAGAAGACGGTAGGATCCTCCATAAGCACAGACAGCTCCCCTCAAAGGACACCCCCAGGCCTTGCACATCAGAGGAGAAGCCAGAGCCAAACCCCCGCAGCAATGTGCCTGCTGCCTTCCCAGGGCCTGGAGCCAGGCGCATCTGGCAAGTGGCAATGGCCACTGCACGCCCCTCCCTGTGGTGGGTTCTGGTCATACACTGCTAATGAGGACAGAGGTTCGTAACCAAAGGACTAGGGCTGGACTTGGACCTCGTCAAGTCTCGGCTGCTCTCCATGTGTGAAATGAGGGGCAGAACGAAACAATCAAAGATGGGGTCTGGGGCAGATGTGTCTGCAGCCGCACTGGTCTTGGCGCTGCCAGCAATGGCCAGAGGCTCTGCTGAGAGCCGGGCTTAGGGGTGGGTGATTCTCCTTCCCTGCTGAGCCCGCGCTTCCCTTCGGGGTCCTATGCTCCCCTCAGCGGGGCTTCCATCGCTTTCCTGTCCTGTGTGCAGCAGGACATCCCTTCACGGTCAGGACCCAGAGCAGGACTACAGGTCAGGGACTCGGATTCTGCTTCTGCCTTGAAGGCACCTGTGTGGCTTTAGTCTAAGCTTTATTTTCTCCATTGTAAAATAAAGGGGTGCACATAGATGACTGCTACAAGTACCCCAAGAGCTTCTGACCTCTACTGTGTAACCCTGGCAGCAGCTCTCCAGACAGCCTGGCTGGGAAGGGAAGGGCTGACCACCAAACCTGGGGACGGGGCCGTATCTGTGGCTTTCTACTTGCTGTTGCTGGGTCAAGTGCTCTACATTCCTTTTCTAATGGGGGTTTCCATTATTGTCCCATTTCACAGATGAGAAATACAAAAGACCAGGAAGGAGGGAGTTCTTGTTCTCACACCTTCTGGGCCTGGTCACCTGGCTTGATGCTAGAGCTGTTACCACTTTCTCTCTCTCTCTCTCTCTCTCTCTCTCTCTCTCTCTCTCTCTCTCACACACACACACACACACACACACACACACACACACCTGCTATTGGCTCAGGGGGCTTCTCTGCCCTGAGCTCCCTCACATGAACAAGGAGACAGTGCCAGATGAAAGCTAATGGCAACAGCAGATCAGCATGAATCACTATATTATTTTGCCTAAATCTGGGGGCAAAAGGTTCTGCTGAACCTTTGCTGTGGGACATGAAACTCCTTCTTCTCACTCCTTCTATGGCCTCCCCGGATTATAAAACCTCATCTGCAGCCCTGGGGTCCAGACAATGGGTCCTGAGCCTCCCCAGGGTTGACACCCTCCCAGGGCCCTGCCCCACTGAGTATGTCCTGGCCTGTCTCCCTGCCCCACCGACTCATCTTCATCTCCAGGGTGCAGCCACTGCTCCTTGCACCTCATACCATCCCCAAATATCTGGGACAGTAGTCCTCCCCAGCACAGAGCAGAGCCAAGTCCCATGCGTGAGGCTCAGCAGCCTGAAGGATGCCCCCAGCTCACAGGAGCAGTGCTTCACAGTCCACTTCAGCTTCGGACCGGGCAGTCACACTTGCCCCAGCACACGTGCCATCTTCCACACAAAGTGAACTCCCTCTGACACATCATCACTCGCTACATCTCCCACAACATGGCATGCAGCATGGATTTCACCACCTCCTGCAAAGCCACCCTGAGAGGATGCACCTCAAGCAAGTCCGCCTGCAGTTTTTACGCTGTGATAAAATCATTCGTGCCTGGATGTCAGGGCCTACAGTCCTGGCCTGTGGAATGGCTGGCAGAGATCCCAAGGCTCCTAGCTGGGCCCCACCTACACACCAGCACTCTGCCCACGGCTCGGCCTCAGCTGTGCCCAGAATGGGCTGCAGAGCCAGGACATGTGAAATAAACTCGCCAGGCCCTTGCTGCAAGAGTCAGAGGAGCTTTGGGGAAGGGACATGGCACTGCACCACGCATGGCCCAGTGTGACCTTACACTAGCCTGTCACACTGCCTGGGTCAGTGGTGACAAACCTACAGCACGCATGCCATGGTGGGATGTTTGTACCCTCGAAAGCTCTGAAAGGTTCACATTCACTGGAGATGCATCACTTACCCTGGAAACTTTTAAACAGCAGCATGTACAACGATGTTTTCTTAATTGCCCTAAAATTTGACACACCTTCTGTGTTCTGGCACTTCAACCAGGAATCAGACTTGGGATCAAAGTACAGTTTTAAAAGTCTATTTTTCATGTTAAACACATCTCGCAAATTTTCCACTCTTGAAAAATCTATGGACCCTCCCAAGTAGCCAATTAGGAAGCTTGTGTCAACAGTTATACAATTTTAAGTTACACAATTGGTCAGTCCATGAAATGGCATTCAAAAAAAGTTCTCGGGCTTCATTAACACACCTTACCTGAAAATTTCCGGTGTCCACTCGATACTGGTACATTGGATCATGCAATTCATTAACTCTGAAAAAATTAAAAATTATTCATTAGCAATGAGCTTTACTTTTTATTTTATACTTTTCTCACACTGCTTTAAAAAAAAAGAAAACCTATTAAACTACTGCCACAACAGTGAAGAATTTTTTAAAAACCGTAAATTTATGAGACATCCCAAATTTCATATTGAAAAAGCACTCAATACTACTAATCGTCCACATTCATCAATACAGTGAAGTTACATGACTTTTTTTTACCAAACTCTATTCTTTGCTCTTGCAAGAGAAGAGCTGGGTACCATAAAGAGGTAAAGACACAAAGAAAGTGAGAAAGATAAATAACAACTTCTGTGAGATTACTTTGCCAAAAACAAAACAAAACAAAACAAAAAAACAGGCAGCTGAGCTGACAGGGAACTGGGGTAAGAAGTGGAGCAGGCAGGGGTGAGCCACTGTGGCTACAAAGCTATACCCAGACAGGGAACTATTAGAAAACAGTCCCGCCTGGGTATCAGGCTATGGCACAGCCTTCTGCTGCAGCACTACTTACAGAAGGACAATGGTACAAAAGGAATAAAACCAGGGCTTAGAACATTTGAAGAAGCAAGAGGCTGGGGAAGACCCATAACATCTGCGGGACAGTGGAAAGCTTAGTCCACCATCATCCCAACACCATGGCCTTGTCACTAGAGGAGGGCTCTTTCACTTTCCATCTCAGACTACTAGAGTCATGTGTTTTCAACAAGCTACTCAAGAACCAAATTCCTCAGTTCCAGCCACCCTAACGTGTGAAATGGGGAGAGACAAGTCTTTCTGGATAAGATCACAAGGCCTCATTAGATCTGGTCTGCCCACCTCTGTCACTGCTTTTTAGGACTGACTGTTTATACCAAACACAATTACTCACGTTTGCCATATTCCTAGCGTAACAGAAGCCAACCACAATAGTCCAACAATGAAGAATTTAGGCAAATAGAAAGTTAAACACTTTCTTTCTCCCTAAAAAAGAAAGGTAAGAAATAGACAATACAAAGTTAGTAATTCTAGCAACACTAACAACCCTAACAAAGCATTTCTACCTAAGTGCATTCTGTTGTCTACCAGTATGAGACCAAGGAGGTTTTCACTGCGCCACTAATCCTGTAGGGTCTCCATCAGAATTTGGAAGGAAAGGCGGGTCTGGCTGATGGCTTACCTGGACCCGTATCCCATGGTACACACACAGCCAGAAGAGCAGCAAAGCACACAGGAACACAGACTGGAAGAGATCGTCCAGCATCCCTGGGAACCAGCTGTTCACCAGGAAGGAGAGAGGGAAGAACGGGTCTGGAAGGAAAAGACAGAAACTCTGATGAGACCAAGATAGGCCACGACCAGCAAAGTGCATTCTTTTCTAGGTAAAAGCTCACTACTGCTTCTCTTCAGTCACAGCTGAAGGAAAGGCAGTGAACCAAAGGCTATTTCTGTTTTCTTTTCCTTCACCACAGAGGATTAAATCCAGGGTCTTTGCACTGAGCTACATCCCCAGCTCTTTCATTATTTTTTAAATTTTGAGAAAGGGTCTTGCTAAATCATTAAATTGCCCAGTCTGGGCTCAAGCCTGCAATCCTCTTGCCTCAGGCTCCCAGAGTGCTGGATTATAGATGTATGCCACCATACCCAGCTACTATTTTGTTTTCAAAATGCCTAAAAACCACTGAACAGATTGCTGCTGTGATCACAACAGAGAGCCGTCTGCCCCTGCATCAGTTCCTCCCACAGGCCTGGGAATTCCGAGGAAGCAAATGCTTTCTGGAGCAGGGACAGAGGAGGAGGCAGTGTGTGAGTACCTTCAGCCAAGTCCCAGGCCTGCTGTGTCTGTAGCTATGTGTTAAAGATCCGAGCATCTGCCGTGGCCTGTGTGAAATGGCACCTGGGAAGCAGCAGTGTGTCACTACACACTTTGCCAGGGGCTCCCCACAGGCTCCTCCCTCTGGGGACTCTGGGACCAGCCCACCTCCAGGATGCCTGCCAGCTTTCAGTGTGAAAGGGGAAAGTGCCAGGGTAAAAACAGCACCTACCATTGTACAGTAGCAGCAGTGGCAGGAGGACAGACATCCACTTCTGCTCAATGCCCCAGTCTCTCATGGAGAACTTGCGCAGGGAATGTGCAAACAGGCACTGCAGACCAAACAGACACCGGTAACTGCTTGTGCCCTGCCTCCCCATCCAGTATGTCCCCTGTCCCACAGTGGTCTGCGGCCATGCCAGGATCTGCTAGGTTAAACCCTGGCTGTACTGTGAGGTCCCAGGGGGCATCAATGAGAAATGAGATAAGAGGGGTAGCAACCGCATGGGGACGACGGGTGAGATGGTCACAAGGTGTTCTCACAGGAGCAAGAGGGAGGAGGAACAGAGCGTCTGTAAATTTTCTGCAAAGGTAAAGAGCCCCCCCAGTCTCGCCTCCTGGGAAGGCTGCTTCTCAGACTCACTCTCAGATGACAGCCCACAGGCCTCCCCAGGCATAGGCACATCTGGGGACCCCACCAAGAGGCAACACGTTCCAAGAGGGCAGCTTATACAAATGGCACCCTGGAGAAGGTATGGGGACCCTGGCAAGAGTGTCCTTAAGCCACTTTAAAACATTATTTAATCTGTGATGATAAGGCCTGGGGTTTTTAATTTTTCTATAACCTGATGTAAGTTGAGAATTTTCTAGGCAATTTGAATTTCCTGGGCTCTTTCTCCAGGCCAGGTTATCTGATGAGGGTCCAGCCTATCTTCTCTAGTTCATGAACGTATGTAGGGCTTCAAGTACAAGTCTTTGGACCCCAGTAAAATCTTGGGTACCATGCAGTCCTCAAGAAATAGAGAGGATTTCAAACCAGCCAGATAGGACGCCACCACCCACTTCACTAGTGAGGTTCTCTGGGGGAGCTCTGTAAGGCCCAGGCTTGACACAAGCACTACAGGCCCCAGCTCCCAGATGACTGTAGGGCCTGTGTCCTGTTTTTAGTAGCCCTCCTCACATGCCCACCACATTCCTACATCCTGCTCTACTGAGTGAGTCTGCAAAGTATCACGTGTTCCTTAGGTGGCAGCTGGAGGGGCCACCGCTGTAAGGAGTGGACACATCTCCTAAATGTCACAACCTCTGAGTCATCACTGGGGTAAATAGCTGATGAGGGCAGAATGCTACCCTTCAGATAGAGACTGGTCACTAAATATATACCTCTGTCTTTAATTCATAAATCCTCATCTCCACACACTGGCCCTACGGAGTACCCTTGTATTCCTAAGTTAGTGTGCCCGTGGACGCAAACCTCAGGCCCTACGTGAGCCCAAAGTGTGCATCTCCAAACCACTTCTCTGTAGCTTTATTGCTGAGAAGCTCAAAGACTAAAACTTCTTGCACAATTTTCCAAATATAAAAGCCAACAACAGCTTATCTGCACCTGGACCAAGTCATTCAGATAAGGGAGAACCCCTTTCACACAGGTTCAGTGGCATTTGTCACTGCACGCTAATGAACATTTACATAAAAGTCAGTGATCTGCCATGATTACTGTGCTGCACAGAAATCCTAACTAAAGGATTCCACATCATTCTTTTTTGCACATGGTATCTCGGCTGCCCCACAGAATGGTCAGTAGTATCAGGCGGGCCCACTGCATGGCAGATCTTAGGGTTGGATGACTCTCTGGGTAGCTTGCTCTCTGAGGATCATTAATGCACAGTCCAGCCTTGTCTCAGCTAGGCTTGGCTGAAGTCCACTGGCAAATGATACTCACAGTGACAATGAAGGTGAGCACCACAAAGACAAAGCGGAACCAAATTTCCAACTGGGAAAATGCAGGGTCGTATGTCTTCCACTGAAACGGGAAGTAGGGGAAACAATATGAATTTCTTTAAAAGTACCTAAGAGGAAATACACCAGACCTCTTCACCCTCCAAATGTGAAGCTTTAGGTAATTTTAAATTTGTAATGCTTTTTCTTTATACTTTCCCTAGTGTTGCAAAAATTTAACAATTCTGTGGATTGAATCCAGGGTCTTTGCACTGAACCACATCCCTGGGCCATGTTTAAACTTTTCATTGTGAGACATAGTTTCACTAAATTGCGCAGAATGGGTTGAATTTACAATCTTCTTGTCTCAGGCTCCCAGACTGCTGGGATTACAGCTGTGGTACCATGCTTAACTTTTTAACTTTTATATTAAAGAATATAACCAAGATCTGAAAATAGTTTTAACTGATGAATCTAGCAGACAGTCTGCAATCATAATAAGAACCTTTGGATTTTAAATCTCCCACCAAAAACTAACTTTATCAATCTCTTTCTTAGAAAAAGGCCACAATTTCCATTTAAAAAAATTTTTTTTGTACCAGGAATCGAACTAAGGACCTTGTTCTTGTGAGGCAGATGGCAGAAACACCGAGCTAAATCCCCGGTCCTAAAAAAATAGATTTTTGCCAGGCATCGTGGCACATGCCTATAATCCCAACACTTGGGAGGCTGAGGCAGGAAGATCGCTGTGAGTTTGAGACCAGCCTGGGATACATAGTGAGTTCCAGGTCAGTCAGGTCAGTCTCAACTACAAAGTGAGACCCTGTCTCAAAAAAAAAAAAAGATTTTTATATGATGAAAAAGTGTGAATACAATTCTCTAAGAAAGTTTAAGTAAAGCATGTAAATATGAATCTGAAACCAGCAAAGTAAGCCACAATTACAGTTGTCAGTTCTGCTGAGTAGATCCTTGCTCCTTGTGTGAGCCAGGGTATGGGTGTCACCTGCCAATGGCAGGGCAGAAAGCAGGGGGTCCTTCAGCCCTGGTCACATGCCAGACTCACAGCCAGACCGCAGAGCACAGCACTGCACAGGACCAACGGGCTCTATCATTTTCATGCACAGTTAAAGTCATCTCAGCAATTTTAATAATCCACTCCAAAGAAGGTTAAGAGTCACACAGATTTACTTTCTAAAACATTAAAACACACATAATATGAATAGTTTAAGACACAGGACTTGAGGAGGCAGTGCAGAACAGAATTATCTGGCTGATGGGTCCACTAGATGCCCCCAAGTCATTGGGAAGCCCAACCACAGCCACATGGTCTGCCTGAGTTGTGAGCACACAGCTGGGGGATGAGGGGCAGAGGAGCCAGACTCCACAGGATTGAGCGCAGAGGGGGAAAGGACCCCAACCAAGGGCATCACCACACCCCATCTCCATCCAGGGCACAGGTGTGAGCAGGGACAAGCTTCACACAGAGCCAGTGCCTGACTCCTACACGGCCAGTAATGGCGTCTGTTGCCATGAGAGAAAAATTCGTATTCCCAGGACATCAGGCAGCGTACCCTTTTGTCACAATGGTGGCAAAGTCAGACTCAAACTTACTGCTGCTTTGGTCCCGTTTGACAAAGTTTAGAATTCAGGCCTGAAAAAAATCCAAGCATTGCCACGTGACATAATATACCAGAACAAAGCTTAAGAACACGTGAGAATATGAGAACTAGCAACTACCGATATCTGCACAGAATCAAAAATACCAGACACAGGGCAGGGGGTAAGCTCATGGTGGAGCACTTGCCTCACATGCTCAAAGCTAAAAAAACGAAAAAAAGAAAAAAATCAAGAAAATACAGACCATAATGAGGAAAAAACCTAATCCATCTAAACTGATTCACAAATCAAAATGACAGAACTAGCAGATAAGGACACTAAGACACTAGATGAAAGGTTCAACGTGTGCAGCAGAGACATGGAAGACAGCAGATCAGAGAGTAGCGAAAATGATGGGAATAGCAAAAGGAGAGAGCACAGCAAGCTGCAGGATGACCTCAAGCATCCTAGAGACATGTTTGAAGTCCCTGAATCTGGGGGTGATGGAAGACAGAAAAACTACTTGAAGAAATAATGGCTAAAATTTCCCCAAAGGTGGTGAAGTTATAAACTCACAAATCCAAGGTTAATGAACCCCAGGCATAAAAAACATGAAGAAAAGTACACCAATGAACATTGAAATCAACTTGTCTAAATAAGTAAATGAGAAAAATCTTAAAAGGAGATGGGAAGGCAGGGAGGAAAGGGTGTATGCCTCAGAAGATAAAAATAAAAACAAAGATAAGGATGATGGCAGATTCACTGTTGGAAAAAACCAAGCCAGAAGACAGTGAGCAATGTTTTCAAAGATGGACAGGGACATGAAAGAACTAGAGCACTCGTGCTGACAGGAATGTGAAACAATGCAGTACAGTGTAAACTGTAGGTCAGGGGTTAAACCGAACCAACCAGCCATTGCACTGCTCAGATTCATCCAAAAGAAATGAAAGCTGAGTACACAGATGTTCATAGTGGCTTTCTTTTATAAAAGCCCCAAACTGGAAACGAGCCAAATGTCCACCAGTAGGAGAAATGGTAAATGACATTTCCTGGAGCCACACAGTGGAGTATTACTCAGGAACAAAAAGGAATGGAATCGTAGATATACCCAACTTCATCAACCAATCTCAAAAGAATTGTGCCAAAAGAGTACATACATATTGTATTATTGTGCATATTACATAAACTGTAATATTCCACTTTTATAAAATTCTAAAACTGTAACTTAATCTGTAATGAAAGCAGACTGGTGGTCGTCTGGGGATGAGACATGACAAGAGGAAGTGGAGAAGGACGTTCAGGGGTGATGGGTGGCAACAGAATTCTTTGTATATTCTAGATATTAATCCTTTGTCTGAGAACAGCTAACAAAAATTTTTTTCCCACACTGTGGGTTGTCTCTTCACTCTGTTGATGGTTTCTTTTGCTGTGCAAAAGGTTTTTATTAAGACAAGATCCCAGTTGTAGATTCTTTATGATATTAACTGCAACTGGCGTTTTGTTATAAAGTCTTTGTCTGCAGCAATATCTTCAAAAATTCTACCTATTCTTTCAGCAGATTTAGTGTTTGTTTTAATACGTAAATCTTTCATCTATTTTGATTTGAGTTCAGTGCATCATGAAACACATGGGTCTAGTTTTAATCTTTGGTATGCAGAAAGCCAATCTTTCCAGCACCATTTATTTTATTTTCAGTACTGGGGATTGAACTCAAGACCTTGTGCTTTCAAGGGAGACACTGCGCCCCTGGGCTAAATCCCCAGACCCTCCAGCACCATTTCTATCTTTCTTCCAGTGAAGGTGTTTGGTTCCTTCATCAAAGCTAAGGTGTCTGAATATGTTTGGAGTTGTTTCTGTATCTTCTAATTTGTTCCATTGAGCCTCAGGTCTATTTTTTGCCAGCACCATGCTGTTTTTATCCCAGTAGCTTTGTAGTATAGTTTCAAGTCAGGGATTGTGATACCCTCTCTGCTTGCCTTTGTTGCCCAGAATTTGATTTGCTATTTTGGGTCTCTTCTGGTTCCAAAAGAATTTTAAGATTGTTTTCTCTAAATTCTGTGAGATATGCTATTGGTATTTTGATCAGGATTGCATTAAATCTGTTTAACAATTTTGGAAGTATGCCCCATTTTCACTTTATTGGTTCTTCCTATCCAAGAACAAGGGATATCATTCTATTTTCTTTGATCTCCTTTTTCAGACTACTATAGTTTTTAATGTAAAGGTATTCTACTTCTTTTGTTAGATTGATTCCTAGGTATTTCATTTTTTAATCTTATCTATTCTTCACCTGAGAAGCATCTATTCACTTCAGATGACCATTTTTGGATTGGGTCTTTAAATTTGGGGGGGAGGGTTCTGATTTTATTGAATTCTTTATATATTCTAGATATTAGCCCTTTGTCTGAAGAATAACTGGCAAAAATTTTTCCCTCATTGTGGATTCACTTTGCTCAGCCACTACAGTCTACTTCCTTTACTGCTCTGTTCCACTGGTGTGTTTCTCCAAGGAGGTCTCTGGAATCGCCAGTAGTCACTGCACATTTGCAGGTTGGAGCTGCCCTTCCCACAGAGTGAGTCACGGCTCAGGAAGAAAGTGCTGCTTACCATCTCCTCCTTCTTCTTTGTTGAAGTTTCTCTTTGATCACCCCATGGGCTTCAATTCTTGCTTCAGATTCTTTCTGGGTCCCAGAGACCTACTTCCCTCCTGCTCTTCCTCGTGTTGCTCTATTTCAGTATCTAGACACCAAATCTCAAAGAGGTTGTTTCTCTGCTGTTCAACACTCCATCACCTTCCTGCAAGTCCCTCATATTTTAAATATGTGGACTTCACTGCATGTCAAATATTCCCCCAGTAAAACTATCAAACAAAAATCAACTAACAACTTGTGTTAATGGCACAGTGGGATCACAGTGAGTAAGCAAGTGTCATTTCTGAATCCCAGCTCCACCATTCTCAAGCTGGGAAGTAATGAAATCTTACTAAGCTTCAGGTCTCTCCTCCATAAGATGGGGGTGCATTACCTACTTTGCAGAATTACATGGCATTCATATAATGCATATAAAATGTTAACACAGTGCGTAGCAAAAAGCACAAGTACAGTAATCAACAACTTCTAGCTGGTGTCATAACACATACCTATAATTCCAGCACTCTAGGAAGCTGAGGCAGGAGGAATACAAGTTCAAGCTCAGCCCAGGCAACTTAGCAACTTACTGAGACCCCATCTCAAAATACACACACACACACACACACACACACACACTCTCACACACACAATTACGATTTGTATTACAGACCCCAAACATAAGTATTATAAATACTATTATAGTGTTTAAATTTGATGATAGCATTGTATAATTTGTAGAAAAACCATGATTAGGAGGGTAAGGTGAATATAATACTCAAATAGAATTAAAGTACATGTCCTATTTGAAAAGCCATAAAGCCATATTATAAAGCATGATCTAGAAGAGAAGACAGAACCATTACCATCAGAGTAAACACAAAGTATGTTCAAAGTAACAGTAATGAATATCATTTTTTACTCTCAAGGGACTGTAATTCTTAAGAAAATAACCACAGATTCCCTTGAAGAAAGGGGATTTTTGTCTTAAGATTCTATAAGGGCAGCATAAAACAATGAATGCATTTAAAAAACCAACACTAGAAAATAATACTTTATTCATATAGCTAAAATTAAAATATGTGTCTGGGTTCTAAAGTATGAGTTAACTGGGGAAGACAGGGACCTGAGCACCCACCTCATGCCTGACACACAGGGGTCCTGTATGCCCTTGTGATCCAATTCTGTCTCCCTGGCTGAAACCTCCTGCACATACGCTTCCTCTCTGGCCCACCCATGTGCACCTCGGAGCCAGTGCAGCTGAACAGCTCAGCCTAGGGCTCACTAGTGCCAGGGTTAGAAGAATGTGTCTCCTCCCTCACACTGCAGCCAGCCCTTCTGCAGACCACAGACCCCAGCCCACCTGTCAAGCTGGGTTCAGCAGGGAAGGTCCAGAGAAGGAAGGACACAGGACTGTGGGTAGTGGGCCAGAACCTTAGTGGCACATGAGGAGCAAAGGCCGGCCTGGGAACACTTCCAGATCTACTGTAAGGACCTGATTCTTTGCAACAATGTGGTTTTTGTTTCTGTGTTTATTTTTAATCCCCAAAATATATGCTTGGAATTAAAATGTAAAATAAATAGAAGGAAACAAAGAATAAGAGCCTCCAAAAAGACTCAAGCTTTTCCATCATTCCATGCACTGGCTTTTACCTCAAGAGCCTGTTGGCATCACATAGCCATCTCTGTCCTCTCAGAAGCTGGGCCTGCCCCGTGAGACTGTGAAGTTACGTCTGGAACAAGCACCCTTTTCCTGCCCTAGGTCACCTCCCACCATGACACTCCTGGGCCTATGACCTATGTCACGCACCCACCCATTCAGTATCTACTTCTACTACTTGCAGGCAAAGACAATGTCAAATTCTGTGCAGATGTGAAATGAACGAATTTTGAGAAAAACGTAAGTAGCAAAACTGTCTCTGGGAGCTAATTATTACTCCAGCAGAGAACAAATGTTTTGTTACATTCTTAGAATCCTCTGAAATGAAGAGCAGCAGGAACACACGGCAGGTGAGGGTCTATGTACTGGAGAGCCACTATTCTGACCCAGTGACATAAAGAGCAGTGAACAAAATTCCTCAGATGGGGACCTGGGCTTCACACCCTGTATTTTCTAGGCTCTTTTTTTTTTTTTTTTTTTTTTTTTTCCGGGTTAAAACTCGGCTTGTCAC